AGTATACAAAAGAAAAATGATTTATCTGGTCACTTAAATCTACAGTTTCGCATACCGAGAATTTCAAGTTGAATAATTTATTTACAAATTACAATATGTATACACAGAAAAACCAGAGTAAGTGGGCGGGTGCTTATTTTATATATATTTTAATTAAATCTCATAAATGTATGTATTTATTTTATAACTTTTCGTAATATAACAAGACTTTCAAGTTTAATACGCTTTGCGTGATAAATTAAAAAAACGAACTTTACTTAAAATTTATATAGTAAGTGATTAATTTTTCTGTATGTATGTATCTAAAGCCATACTTATCTGTAAGGAAGTTTCAAATTACACAACTCAGAACAGAAAAATGATATAAAAATTATAATTACATCACCTAACTGAAAAGTAATCAGCGTTACACAAGTCAATGATCTGTTACATTTTTAACTGCACAGAACACTTTTTTCTGTTCAACAATTTGGAACAATAATTGTTCTACTGTAATAATTTAAAAACACTTTATATATACATTTTTTTTCTTTCTTTTAAGTAATGTTTTAACATTTAATGGCACAAACAACAAAAGTATCGGAGTGCCATTAAATCCATTAGATTGATAACCTCTGAAATTCGAGACGTGCCAGATTTTTCATTGCTTTAACAATTTTTTTAAATGCCAAAACATCGTCACTCAAAAAAAAAAGTTATAAGTGATGATTAACGACTCACAGAAAAGTCGTTTGAACTATTCTTTTTAAATCTTCATTTATTAATTTAATTCTCTATTATTATTGTTTCTAGTAATACACAGTTTATAATAACGTATAAGAAAACGTGGTATGACGTCGTCAAATCAATATGGCGCCGGCCACCGATGCAGATAACACATGTTCCTTTACCAAAACAAGCTTAGTGTTTTTACAGTTTTATTCCGTTTAAGTGTAAATTTTAACAAGAGTTGTTTATTAATAATAATTTAATATTAAATTCACGAAAATTATTCATTCTCGTCGTAAAAATATACAGAAATGTCTCACAGCGTGTTGCTATTAGCTTGGTATACGAATGTAATTGAAGGTAATTAATAAATTTGCATTATTTATCGAAAAACTTGGATTCTTACGAACTAATTATTATATAAAAGCATTCTTCTTAATGCAAGTAAGAACTGTCAGTTTAAAAATTTACCTGAAATCTTCAATTTATCGCAAAAGACTTAATTCAAACGAGCAACGGCGAATGAAAGTAATGGACGATATTCAATTCTTTGGTTTAAAATATAAAACGATATTTAATTAACTTAAATGAACTCGTTCGTTGTTTCACTGTGCCATTCACAGACAAAACACTAAACATTAGATCGACAAACACTAGCGCCGCACTTCACCCGATTTTAAATTTTAAATGCGTTTAGAAGAATAAAGTTGTTGCAATGTTTCAAGATATAACGTATTAATAATTATTTTAATAAATAAATAAATAATTTAGTATACTTATATTTAAAAAATACTCAAAAATAAAATTTTGCAATGTCTATACGTAGCACTAAAGTGCCTAGAAAATATACGCGCGACTAGATGTCCAGATGGCACAACGCGCTGATTGGTCAGCTGAATGACGTTAACCCACCGAAATCTATTAGGCCAGGGGTCGGCAACCTTTTGAGTTGGAAGAGCCAAAAATTACAATTTACAAAATTTCAAAGTTTTTAAAGAGCCACAAATTTTTTCTTACCAACAATAAATACTACTCCCATAAATAAAGTTTTTTGATAAAAAAACTAATCTATTTATTCATAAGAAAAATTGTCTTGCGTCGAAAGCGAATTAAAACTCATAGAAACATCCGACGACGGCGTCATTCGAGAGCTTCCAACGGACTGACGACAGTGANACAATGCGCTGATTGGTCAGCTGAATGACGCTGATTGATCAACCTACTAAAATCGGAAATGTTGATCGATCAGCCTAAACTTTGTGTTGTTGTTGTGAGAGCGGGCAGTCATTACATAACAGTTATAGACATTTCATCTAAAACTTGATAAAAGGCACTTATTTATAATTTCACTAGCTCTTGTGTGTATTGACATTAACTGAAAATTTTGCAATCATTTTAACATTAAACTAAGTTACGTGATATCAAAGGTTTTAATGCTGAGACATTTTTAAACATCAAGAAGTAACTTTTATCTGTTTTGCATTTTTTAAGCTTTTTTGTATATTTACTTTAATAATAAAATAATCAAAAACAACAAATGTAAATTGCAAATTAAGTTTTTTTTACATTCTTTATTAGACAATACAGTATTTTTAACCTTACAGAAACATATATATATAAAATATTAAATACATTACAACAGAATATGCTAAGTGGAAATGCAGATTAGTTAACAATTTAATATATATTTTCACCTAAACATAATTCATACTTTTTAATGCATAATTGTTAAAAACATTTTAAATAATAAGTTATTTTTTTTTCTACAAATTCTCTCTAATCCATTGATTTGCTTTTCAAATCAAATCCTGTGGAAACTTAAATATAAGCACTGGATATCACTTCACTTTATATTTTCCTGCGCAACCAGGTATACACCACATACAAGGCATCTAGAAATAGTTATTTATTAGTATGGTAATATTACTTTAACAAAAAATAAAAAAGGGTTTAAATGAAAACATTACAGGACAAATACAACATTACTTTTTCTTGATATTTATATTCATAAGCAATTTCCATGATGAAATGTATGGAAATTCTTATTTAAAACATATATAACTATTATATTCAATGAAATTTAAGTACTGTACTTACAGTATTATTGGCTGTTAAATAATTTATATGTTACCGCTAAAGCTCGAAATCCGTTAATGTGTACATTGCCTAGCTAATCTGCAGATTAACTAGGGTGACCGTTAAAGCTGCGAAAATTGTTCAATTTCTCAAATTACCTAGGTAATTTGCAGAGTATCTAGGTAATCTGCNGCAACCAGGTATACACCACATACAAGGCATCTAGAAATAGTTATTTATTAGTATGGTAATATTACTTTAACAAAAAATAAAAAAGGGTTTAAATGAAAACATTACAGGACAAATACAACATTACTTTTTCTTGATATTTATATTCATAAGCAATTTCCATGATGAAATGTATGGAAATTCTTATTTAAAACATATATAACTATTATATTCAATGAAATTTAAGTACTGTACTTACAGTATTATTGGCTGTTAAATAATTTATATGTTACCGCTAAAGCTCGAAATCCGTTAATGTGTACATTGCCTAGCTAATCTGCAGATTAACTAGGGTGACCGTTAAAGCTGCGAAAATTGTTCAATTTCTCAAATTACCTAGGTAATTTGCAGAGTATCTAGGTAATCTGCACATTAACGGCTTCCGTATCGTTAAAGTTCAAAAGTTTGTTTCTTTCACTTCCTTTCCCCACTCCTTCTTTTTACGTAGATAAATTTAAATCCTAGAATGCAAGCAAGCACCGANTATATTTTAATTTCTGAGGAATGCATTTTTTGCACATGTGATGATTCACTTTACTAATTGTGGTCCCTTTTCTGCAATATTTGGAAACGGTTCAAAATCAATTTTCCTACAGCTTAAATATTTTAGCCGAAATAGGAACATTAAAAGGAGTACCAAATTTAAGCAATTTCGAATTCTCCCTATTTCGACAAGTCAATTTCAGCTAAAGAATTTAATTGTAAAAAATTGGTTTTATACTCTTTTCGATTATTGAAAAAGAGGAACTACAATTATCAATATATCTCTTAATATAGAGTAAAGCATGTGTATAAAATGTATATATAAAGTGGATCATAGCATTTGCTTTTATAAGCAGTCCATTCGTTAACTTACACAACTATATAATCATATATAAATAACTGTTAGTTTTTTTGTATATGATTACACAATGATTGACACAGGGTGTGCTAATTATCATCAAAACACGTTTACTTATTGCATTGGATTGGAAGATGCCAATTAATGCAGTAAGTATTCGTGCTTTGATTGGTTTATACGGCATGGGTGATCTACCGAGGGGAATGCCTCTCCGAAGGACTTGGTAAACCGATCCCTATTTAGATGTTACTAATGTGAAGAAAACCCGAAAAACTTTACGTGGCCAGACCGTTGGCGAGACGCGAAACTATGACCAATTACCAGTGTTTAGTGGTTTTATCCACTCGGCCACGTTTTGATAATTCCCATAAAAAATGGCATGTGCAAAGTAGGATTATGAAATCTTATTTACACGAATTTGTGATCGTTGGGGTTAAACATGACATCATAGTTATAATCTTAAATCAAAATTGAGTCTAAATATGTGTTTTATTATACGAACGCTATCTTTACGAAAAATTAAAAAACATGTTAACGGTCTACTTAGCTAACTCCTGAAACAATCGCCTTACATTGTTGCTATGAATAGATTTTTTTTTTTCTTTTTTTCCTGATAGGAATATCAGACCCATAAAAGAGATTTACAGATATAGTTTTTGTCTGTGATTTACAAATCTCTGTTTTACTCTATATTAAAAGATATAACGTGTGTAATGTTTTTTGCATCAAAAATTTCGAGTGTATGAGTTTATATGTATTATTTTTCTCTACAAAAATATTTTAATATTTCCTAATATTAGGCTATAAAATTAATAATGTTACAAATATTTTAAATAATTCCTGAATTTGTTCGAATTTGGTTTGTGTTTCCAATTTAAGTGAATCTAAAATTGAGTATTTAAGCGAAAATATTTTTTTATTATAGGTTTCTTGAATAAAATATTTAGTATTGTATCATGAATTATATAAAATGTTTAATTTATAAAAAGTGTTAACAAAAAATTAAAATATTTAATGGTCTAGTCTAAATAGACAATAAAAGTTATAACTAATTATAATGGCATAACAAAAATATATCAATTATTTATAATTAGAATATACAGTTTTTCATTTGCATTTAGTCAATTAATTTAAATAAAAAGAGTACCTAATTTATGAAAATGCATCACACTTTCGTTCTCCAAAGCAACAGAGATTGGAAAGGTAAGTTTCTTTGTAATTACAGCTGGTATAAGGTTTTCTAAACCATAAGACGAGTCTCTATAAACTTCAATTTGATTTCTTATTGCTTTCGAAGAAATACTTAAAATGCTAAGATCATCCGCTATATATTTAAAAATAAAATATATAACAAATAATTATATTTTCANCACTAGGTAGAAAGTCAATTCTTCCTGAGAATATCGAAAAAGAGCTGCTGGAATATATATTGTTGATGGAGGTCATTTTTTTCTATTATAAAAGCATTTTTGCGATAAAATACATCGGAGTAAATAATTTTGTAATTATTTAACATTTTTGTACTTTTCTATTTGTTTTTGGCTACATTAAAGCATTTTGGTAATATGACATACAATAAAGCATTTTTCTCTAAGCCCACTTTTTGACTTTTTGTACAAAAACCTTCAAAAACGATACTTATAGTTACACTAGCGAAAAATCCAATTAGGAACATTTAGTTTAGTAGTTACCGGTACTTTCGCACAAAAAATGTGATTGTAGTTATGATACCTTGTTTACAATCTACTAAAATGTAATTGGGGTTCCATAATACCTTCTTCTCCTCTAATATTTGTTTATGAATTGCATTACAATGTACTGTAAGTGTGAATGAATTTTATTACTTTTTAAATTATTTAATAAATACATTTTATAACTGTAATAATTTATACGTGTAAATTTTTAATATTTAACAAATTTTTATGAAATGCATATATTTTTGATGGAACTAAATATTACCTGGAAGGTAAGAAAATATTCTAAATCGGATTTCCATAGGTAATAAATCAAAATCACCTAAGAGACTTTTTTGTATTTTCTTGTGTTTGTTACCTTCTTTTTCTTCCTTCAAAATTCTTTCAGATCTTCTAATATTTTGATAAGCAATAGGTTTTAAATTGGTGAAGCTCATTTTTTAGTTGCCAATTAACCTATAATCAAATATATGAAATTATTTTCTTTCATTTAAAAATGTACTAGCAGATGAGCCCAGCGTTGTCCGGACAAAAAATAACAACACCAAAGACTAATTAGAAGTACGAAATAATCTAATGCATTATTTCGTACTTCTAACCCTTCTATTATATTACATTATAGTATTTGAATTATATAACTACAAAGGTTATCTTACGTAAGGGTTTATCCTACCAAGTTACCAATCTAAAACATTTTAAATTGTGTACAGCAGAGGAATAAAGAATTTTTAAAATGTGTTAGATTGGTCACGCGGTGTGACCCTTGCGTAAGATAACAAAGTATTTGATTTATACCCTTACGTAAGATAACCTTTGGGTTATCTTACGTAAGGGTATAAATCAAATACTATAATATAACAAACATTAAAACGAAAACCATGTAAACAGTTTGGTTATTTTAGCCTATCATTGTCATGTTTATCACAATACTCGAATGGTACGAAATGACACAATTTCATTGGTCAAGTAGACACTAATTGAAAATATATCTTAAATTTTTTCAAATATATTTTATACTAATGTTAACTCTAAGAAACTACCATTCACAGCCGAACATCAAACTGTAATCTGTCAACGAATCAAATTTCGCCAAAAACGGACCAAATATTTAAACTCGGCACCCTCGAAAACTACTTAAAATCATATTTTGTGCTGTCCGGTAACCTTGTATTATGTAATTTTCCTATTCGAATGCCACCATAATCGTATTCCGATAGAAAGAAGGAACTGTTCAAGAGGGTTGAAGTAATTTGACCAACAGTAGTCGTTGACCTCTCCCCGGAAGAGAGGATGGTCAGCGACTACTAATTAATACCGGTGTACTATTAATATTTGAAAAGTGATCCGTGTTGGATAGGTTGTGAATGCCCCGCATGTGATCGAAGTTGCTAACCTTAACGTCCGAAAGATTTCATATAAGACTTGTTTAAATAAAAAAATCTTGTAAAAAATGCGAGAATAATTGCTTTTATGTGGTAATAAAGTGTTTATATTTTTGCAAGAGATTGTATCAACTTGCAAGAGATTGTTCTCGTAAATATCGCGTTAATAGAAAAATTATTGGGTTGAAATTTGAAAAAATTGTAGCCTATAAATTCCGATTGTCGTCCGCCTGTCTGTCCTTTCATCTCAAGAAAGAAGTTAGATAGATGAACGTCGAGACCAGATATGGAAAGCTTATGGACAGAAGACCCAGGTTAACTATTTATGAATTTCCGGCATAAACCGGAAGTCATGTTACTTTAATTCAAAAATTTTCCCTAAAAATAATTAGATAGATAACCGGCACGATTCTGTTGCTAACAGGAAAAGTATGATATACAGGGGCAAGACATCGCTAAAAGAATTGAGAGCATTGTAACGATGTCACAATAAATAATCGTTAGTTAAAACTAGTTTGCTTTATTTGGTTAAGGCAACGCGACACGAGAACGATCTGCCGAGTGGGATGCATTCCAAGAAGACTTTTATGGGAAGCTGGACCCTATTTAGGTGTTACTAACGTGAAGAAAACTCGGAAAACTCTACGTGGCCAGCCCGTTGGTCATGCCCGACTCACGACTAATTAAATACCAGTGTACGGTGGTATCCAATCGGTACTTATTAGTGTGGCCAACCTGGCAACACTTACCGTGCCCTTAGTTTTTAGTCTTTGTCTCCCGGACAGTCTGTCTGACCACGTGCACGGTACTGCCGGCACTCTGTACAGTATTCGAGCGCTTAATAAATTTGTTTTATTAATTGAAATCTGCAATTATTTGATCAAGACTCCAAATTAGAATTAAGAAAGAACCGTTCAGAAATGAAAAAATCCAAGTTGTTAGATGTGGAATATTAAATACTTATAGGCTTTTCACAGGCTTAAACACGTTTGATTCCACGCAGACAAGCGCTATAATCTACTTGTCTGAGTAATGATATAGCGCGTCTATTTCGCGCTGTATCACTCGCAGTAATTAAGGGAATGTAATATATATTATTTAAAATTATATTCTTTTTGTAAAAATTATATTTAATTTATCATTTTCTTAAATTTTGCCAATAAATGGAGCTACGCGTAACTCAGCAAATTGAATATAGATGGAAATTAATTGATTTATAGAAATCCAATCGATAATTTTGGGCGGAATGTACGACATTATCTATGTAAGTTAGAAGTATTTGAACGTAACTGCTGAGTTTCGTAGCAATTGGTCGAACGACATGGGAGTGTATAGAGAATACACAAACAAACAAACAAATATCCTCATTTATATAAATATAGATTATACCGAAAGCATTTGTAGAAAAACTGGAAACAAATATACTACACCTTACACACTTTTCTACCCCATTCAGATGTGTGCCCCAGGTTAAAAACGTATTAAAATACAAATTAGAGAAAAGAATATGGTCGAACTATAACGACTATTTTTAAATTTACAATGACTTAAACTTAATTTATCGCTTTTCTTAAATATAGGGCTCTTAGCTTGGGTAGAAGTGAATCACATCCCTTAGGTAGGCGTTAAGTTTAAGTTATTGTTAGCTATGGCTAAGTTATACAAGAAGTTAGTTCTAGCCTTGACTAGGGCCAAAGCTAAACTTAGATTCCTTGCGAAATGCCAGATGAACAATGTGTTTCCTATGTCATTTCATCGAATACGCCTACCTAAGGGATGTGATTCACTTCTACCCAAGCTAAGAGCCCTATGTTTAAGAAAAGCGATAAGAACAACAAGAAGAGTAGTATTAATTTAAATTTACAAAATTCGAAAAACAAATAATTTGCGTATTTTTAAAATGAAAACATTAAAATAGTCTATATAAAACATATAATAAATTAAAATAAAATAAATACACATGAGAACGATACAGGTTGGACTTAAAAGCCTTTCGTTAACAACATGTGTATTTAAGAGTTCCAGCATGTTCCAGCAAAAATTTTTAATTTTTCTAACGTTTTCGGCTATCTAAGCATCCATCATCAGGATCGAAAATGCAATAGAATAGTTTTGAAATTTAAATTTAAACAGTGTTCCAAATATGGATCAATAACATATAACCAAAATAACATAAATTAAAATATAAAAAAATATATAACATGTCACTAAACGCGTGTAATTATTTTATTTTATTTACATAAAAAGAAGAAATATATTTAATTAAATTTGTTTGTAATTTAAAGATTTTCCGAGCGTCTTATTTAACCAAACAACTGGCGATTCGTATATAAATTCTGTTAATATTATCACAATTAACTGTCTACATATATTAATATTTATAATATATTTAAAATTTAAACATTTCAATTTAAAAAAAAAAATCTTACCAATGAAGCGAGCAAAAGTAAAATTATAGCATTCGACTATCGAATTTTCAAATTACTTATCTAGTTGTGTTCGATTTCTAAACCTTTCAAAAATTAAATTATTATTAATGTTGCATCAAACTTTTGAAATTTTATTCTTACCTAATTGATAAATTATTACAGAAATATATTCATGAATGTTCTAGAGCAGTGTTTTTTAACCTGTGGGTCGCGACCCCCAGGAGGGTCGCAAAGCCTTATGCGGGGGGTCGCGGGTAAAAGAAAAAGACAAGTGTTTGTAGGTCCTACATTACAATAAAGAAAACTACAATTTCAGTGAGAAGGCTGTATCTGTTTATTTTACAGTACAATAAGTTTTTCAATTGATATTTAGGTCTCAACAGAAAGAAAATTAAATACGTAGTTTTTAAAATCACTGATATAGTTTTAATATGGCCCTGGGGGGTGGCCAGAATTTTTTAATTTGTAAAGGGGTCGCGTATTCAAGAAGGTTGAAAAACACTGTTCTAGAGCAGTGGTTTTCAACCTTTCACACTCGCCGGCGAACTATCAAGACTGAACCTAAACCTAAATAATATTTTTATTAAGTAATTGAATAGAAATACAAATTTATATGACATTATCAGTGCCCCGTCTGCTGTTGCTTCCTTGTTAGCAAATCAGTTATTCGTGGTAGCAGTTTTGTTTCTGAGAGACGAAGTGCTGCATTTATATCCATTCGATTTTTCTGCTTGGTTTTTATGCAGCGAAAATGTAGCGTAAATGACGTCCTAAGCAGCAACCGCTGCATGTCACTTGTTCGCTAATTTCTGTTTTAGAAAGCAACGTATTATTTAAAGAATTACAACATAATGAAAAAAAGGAAGTATAAAAATTTAAATTCAAAAGGATGGTAAAAACAATTACTTTTATTGAACATTTTTCCTTATTTTGGTCTAAAAACATATATAATATTCTTACTGAATTAAATTTTTGCAGAAGTAGCCTATATAACGCATTTGTAATTATTTTATACAGAGGCCATTAAAGACAATAAATTAGGTTAAAATTTATAACATATATCAACAGGATGGACAATTAGTGTAAAATAGTAATTATAACAACTTCAGTTAACAGAACTCACTATCCAACAGAAATTTCATTTAATAAATCCCAGCATTATTTAGTGATTATAAAAATATGTATTATCATGAAATTTGGCAAAAGCTGTTATATGTTTGTCTTTCTTCAATTCCAGCCTTTATTTTATATGAACTCATTCACAAAAAAGTTATGCACCAAGGAAGTGTAGGGATCAAAATATCTTTAAGTGCAAATGTTGATGATAAATTATCATCATTATGATGAAAAGAACTTCCTGTGAAACAAGGAATTAATTTAAAGCAACTTTTACTACTTTGAGTCTGGATACATGTGGCAATATGACAGGCATGGAGGCGCGCACACATTGTATACAATAGAGAGGTTGAGGCGCACGTTTCAAACGTGTAAACGTGTGCGTGTGACGTTCGGCGCCGCTTTCCCGTAAGCCTAAGACCCTGTACACACTAGGCGTTTTTCAACGCGCGTTTAAAAGAACCAAGAGTTCTATGTAGCCGTACACACTCAAAAGCCAAGCGCGCGTTTAAAAGAACCAAGAGTTCTATGTAGCCGTACACACTCAAAAGCCAAGTGCGCGTTAAACGCGCGTTTTGCGAGCGCTTATAGATTTTTGTTAAAACGCGCGTTTTGCGAGCGCTTATAGATTTTTGTTAAAACGCGCGTTTTGCGAGCGCTTTGAGATATATGTGCTGCCATGTTACCGTACATGCGATCGCGCGTTTTGCGGGCGTCAGCCAAGCGCTTTGAGATATATGTGCTGCCATGTTACCGTACATGCGATCGCGCGTTTTGCGGGCGTCAGCCGAGCGCTTTGAGATATATCTGCTGAAATGGAGAACGATCATTTCGATACTGATCTATTTATTGATGAAATCTAAAAGAGACCAACCATCGTCAAAGGATTTTATAGATATTTTAAAAGAATTAAAAAACTTGAATTTATTTTGTCTTAGTTTTGGATACAACGTCGCAAACATTTCATGCGTCAGTCTATCTCGTAATATTGGGTGCACCCAAAATTCTCTTTGCCTC